AGCGATCTAACCTGAAGAATCAAGTTTTTAAAACTGAAGCACCACCTATGAATCTCATTATAATTGGGCAAAATTTTCCTGCAAGTTGGCACTGCTGCATTCACCCTACACATGTTAGAACCAAAATAGCAAAATACTGATCCTTCAACTCAGTAATGTCACTAGAACTTAAATAGAAAGTGCCAAGATTTTTCTTTTTTTAATATTTCCCTTCCTCACACAGCCACCGTATCACATCTAAATAAATAAATAAATAAACTACCCAAACTCCAACCTGAGAGTAATTAAGATTTTTAAATAATTAAAATAGTTGCTACTTACATACCTTTTGTTTGACTTTCCAAAGGGTATCAGTGTAATTTCACCTGCTTTGCATAAGGACAAAACTCTAGTGAAGACAGACATAGTTGCCCCAAAAATGCTGGAGTTAAATATACATGAGCAGATACAAAACAAAATGCAAAAAAAGGGACACCTTTTAAATTAATGGAGGTGTACCCTCATATACAGTCCACAGCTTTGTGAACTTGCTGTTCAAGTGGTATGTAAACTGTATAAACCCAGGAATTTTAAGCAATGATGAAAACAGGGATAGGACATGCAGAACCACCCCAGACTAGCTTTGCAGGTTCCAGTTAACTTTTATTCTGTTGTTTTCTGGTAAAGCCAAAGAAACTTCAGTCGCCAAGACACTTTCAATATATAAAATGTTTTAATAGTACAAAATTAAATTTGTATAAGTGCCTCAAAACCGCACAGATACATTTAAAAAGAAACTTTCTGAGTAAGTCTGAACCTTTCAGTATTACAGCTTTGAAGTTCAGATATCAATCTGTAGCCCTGAGCTACAGCAACAGTTGAATCATGATCATCAGCTACCTCACAACAAAATTGTATTTAAAAAGCCGTGGTTACTCTTGGTAAAGATACAAAAGACATTGCACTTAAGTTACCTAGACTGCATGTTCTAGATTCAACATACATTTTTGATTAACAATAGAATTCAATGTATTTACCTTCTGCAAAGAGTTTGCCTAAACACATCATAACTAGGAAGAAAAAGCAGCTTTTAGATCTCATCTTCATTACTGTCTCCATCAACAGTTTCCACCACCCGTGAAAACTGCCTAAGCACTACTTTTGTAAATAATTAACTGGATTTTCAGAGGTATTCACAAATGCCTTGGTGTGTCCATGGTATTTTGTAACAAGTTGTTTCACCAAAATCACTATTTTCATTTATTTTAGTTCCCCAAATACCCTAACATTAAACTTGCAGAATTCTACTTCCATTTGCCACACTTCACATCAGTAAAGAGGACAAAATTTATCATTTTACAGTGAAACCAAGCAACAAGCTTATGGGACAATTTAAACTAACTGAACACTGTTGCTCTCAGAACCTCCCGAGTTCCAAGTTTAAAGGTCAGTCTGTTATCAGATTGTTAACCTTGGCTGAAATAAGAGGAAATAGACAATTCCTCCCTCCTCCCCATATAACCAGTCAGTTGCATTTTATCTGTATATAGATAGGGATAGAGAGAGAGATGTGTATCTCTCAGACTAAAACCATAGCCACTGCTATTATCTGTCTGTTGGGTTTGGCTGTATAAAGCTAGCCCCTTTTGAGTCTCTTTTTAAACGAACAAACAAAAAATAGAGCCTCATTTACAATGCACCATCACCTGACTGACTAGTAACTACCAGTTGATTTAGCATCATGTTCCACCCTTGGGAGGTATCATCTTTAAATTTGGGGGTGGGAAGGTATAATTTTACAGTCTTTGTTTTCTTGGCCTTGCTCTAAGAAAATACAATTCAAAGGCACAAAAGAACAGTATTTAAGGGACATGCTGTGATGAACACAGTCTGTTTAGCCAGATAAGATGCATGCTTGTATGTACTCCTCATTTGATAGGAAGAAAACAAGTCACCCACCCTTATAATATCAGGTCAGAATTTCTAGATTCAGCCTTGTAACACCCCGTTGTTCCATCATAATCTTGTAGTGTTAAAAAAAAGGCATTATAACTTTATTTTTTTCCTACAGTCACACATAATCCCTCAAAACAAAATCCCTAGAAAGCAAACTCCAGCTCCCCAAAAACAGTAGCCAGTTTTGAAATCCACAGACTATGCCTCCCTTCCTACCTATACCTCTCCAGATCAGACAAGCCAACATAACTGTCCCAGAGAAACAACTTTTTTAAAGAGAATTCTACAATAATTCAGAGTGAGGAATACAGTGATATTTGTAAAATTCATAGTTGAATAATAACAATACGTTACTGCAGTAGTGAAATTTCCAGGGCTTATGATTTTATTGTACAATTGCATTTGGTAGTAGTACAAAATAGGATTTCAAAAGCTGTATACAATACAAAAAGTTACAGAAATGTTATTTGCAATTTGAAAAAAACATTTTCAAAGGTAGCGTGACACTTATTTACTTTTTTTCAAAATCATTTAGCTATCTACTACATACATGCTGTACAAATACATCTTCATATACATCATTTACATTTCAGTAGCAGGAAATACCAAGCGTATCCATCACCATCAGAATTGCTTGCAGAGGATCCACAATTTCTTGCATGTTATCTTTCCTCAAAACCCAGTCTGGTTTAATTCTGTGAAAACATTAGTGGTTTGTCATAAAAATATTATGTTGCCACAGGAAAAGCAGCAGACTAGTTTTTAAGCTCTTACCTTGAAACTGTTTTTATTCTTAGAGGGGTTACTGGAACAAAGGAAGTTCCACTTAAGAAAGTATTTGTTTTTTGCTTCACAAGTGTTCTCTCTGCATCCATTTTGTGTTTACGAGCTGTAAGTTTATATAGGCTTTGAATGCAGGTAACAGCTCTTGGCATGCCTCGGATTTCCTGAGAAAAAGTGAAAATAGTAACCAGTTAACACTACAAGTTTGAAAGCAACTTAACAAATCAAAAAATCTCTTTTATTCAATGAAAACTGAAGGTTTATAATTTAAGCTGAACTTCTACCCACAAGTGCAGTGAAACCATTTTAAAGCCAGCACACCTACAACAAGGCAATCGGTCAATTGTCTAATGATTTCAAAATACTTAACAACTGGTATGCGACTTGAGATCTCAGAAAACTCAAAGTCTTACAAGTCAGATTTTACTAATTTCTCATTAAAACCAATTTTCACATGTCATTGGCATATGCCCTCAGTGATTGGTACAGAGAGACAAAGCAGTGCTTGTACTCCTGTTCATAGCAATGAAAGAAGAACAAGGCAATGGTCAGAGGTGACTAGATAACTTAAGTGCTTTATCTGATGGATAAATAGCTAGGGAATTTATAGCATAGAATGCAGACTACCCTAATAACCATATTAGGGATTCCAGCAATAGGGATGGAACAACAAACAAAGGAAGGAAATTTCTTTCAGGAACAGGCTACCTCTCTGTTAAAGTCAGGGACAATCATACTGCCAGTTGTTACTGACAATAGGGATCTTGACTTTATCTGAAAAGCAACAGCAAACTTTAAGAAATGGAATAAAAGTTAATTAAGTGGCAACTAAACGATATCTAATGCTAAGCAATTGATAGAAAGTCATCAAAACTCTGTGGAAAGTAGGGATTGCAGTATCATAATCTTGCAAGGATTGCAGAATCAGAAACCTCAATGTCTCATTGAATAGCTCTGGGTCACCAGGGCATACAAAGCACAAAATAATGAGTGCTTTCACCTTCTTGGAATTTTTTTTTTTTTTTTTTTTTAAAAAATCAGAGTTTAGTCATAATTAATATTACAGCCATAATAGATATGGTAGAGAGAGAAAAACAAAAAAAAAGTTACAAACATCACCAAAACATGCAAGAAAAGTATGTTAAATCAAATTATTAAACCTAAAACATTTAAGTCTCACCGAAGCTCTTTTCGAGTCCTTTGAAAGGATGGCCAACAAACAACAGGTCTTCGTGAAAATGCTTCCTCCTTTCTCTGAAATTTTGTCCCCAGCTTTCCCCCTGTACGTTTGCAGTAAGTCTAGTAATGTGTCTATAGAATTTTCTACTTCGTAAACTGCTTGAGTAGTTCTTTCATACTGTTATACAAGAAAAAGACAAGAGAGGTTATATAGACAAATCTTTAAAATATCTTTTAGATTACAGGAAAAAGCAAAATCCATATTCTCCCCCAGATCAAATTTGTAGCTAATCTGGCATCCAAGCGATAATAATTTAATTTGTGCATTCTATGACACAAATTTGGAAAAGTAGCCTGTTTTCTCGAACATACATTTCTACATTAAAAAAACTTCATAGCTTATCCTAACTACCACAGTTTTGCATTTCTACACAATTTTATGCATTTCTACAGTTTCATGCAGTACTTGGAATACCTTGCAATGTAATCAGTTAAAAGTAAACTTATTACTTTAAGCCCATGAAATAATTTTCTTTTGCCAAAAGGAAAACTAAAGCATAATTATTACAAAGTAGATAATTGGTTTCAAAATAACAGTTAGAAACGCAGAAACTATTTTTTTATTCAAAACTTTTCTTGATTCAAATTCATCCAGAAATTTTGTGGATTAATAAATGCTACAATAAATTAGTCTACAGCTTATAAACCCGCAAAAGGAAATATTAAAGTTACCTTTGAAACATTCAGTAGAACCTGAACTGAATATCTGATCACATCCATGCACGGAACACTCCGGTTGCAACTTCGGATCAGAACAAAAATAGTGAAGATTGCTCTGCTCCGGGCCATATTTTCACAACAGAGCGGGGACAGCCTGGTAGCCACCTCTATGATAATTAAAAAAAAAAAAAAAGAAAACTCTGAAGCTCAAGCAATTTAATTGCTAGTCAAGGTTTTCTCTTATTTTTAAATTGAAGTGCAAAGAAGTAAAAACAGCAATTACTGATTTAAATAAGTATTTCTAAATTAATAGTTTTAATATTCCAGACTAATTAATTCACTTAATTTTGTAAGCAGACAAATATATCTACAGAGAACATATACTGGTAGTAAATATAATTGACTTTTGTAAGGCATAGTATTACTAGGACTACCAGGAAATTGGAGCAATCATGTAGTATTTACTTTCTCTACATAACCATTTAAATACTGTTCGTAAATCAACAAACTAATTTTAGTTTGGAAAAACCCCTCCTCAATATATTCTTTAATGTGTTCACATTTTACAACCATACAGAAAGCCAAAATATCATTATGAACTCTTCTCAGCTAAAAAATTCCAGTTTCTATCACCCTGAAATTCTATCAGTTGTAATAAAATGAAATACTGACCAAGGTGCTTTAATGCTGCAAGAATATAAGACAGATGTTTGTATTTTAGAAGGTATTCAATGGCAATTGCAGTCCTGTTGCACAATTTGTTTTCTTCTCTGCTCTTTTCATTAGCCTTTTCTAAACTACGTCTTAAAGCTTTAGTTTTTGCTGTGTCATTACTCTTTCTCCACGAATATCCTCTCCACAATGCCTACAGAAAAGGAATTTCACAAAGAGAAAAAAAAGTTGTGAACAAGAGACAATAAAGTTCCAATACCATTCCGAAGTCATTCTACATAAGTCCAACAAAGTTCTTTACCTTGGTTATTAATTTTTAAGTAATTACCATTCAGTGTTTAATCTTCCAAATACTGGATTTTCAAGAAAAAAAGACAAAACCAAACATGCATATACACCCCTCACACACTCTCCTATAAGTCACCTCAACTGGTATCTGCTTCATATTACTTCATGATCTGTTTGCATTTAGCTTTGCTGTCTAAACTGAAGCTGACTTAGCTTGCAATTTAACTGATAAACTCACTAAAGCAAACATCTTTCCTCTCCCCAAAAACCTATGAGAGAAAAATGAAAAACTTAACAAAAAATTCTAGTTGTCTTACAAGAAATATTTACCTGAAATTTAACTATTCCAACTGCAAATTTTCTCCTACGCCTGCAGGCAAGGAATCTTCGTAGATTTCGCTGGATTATGGTTGCTGCATTATTTCTGTGATTTAGCCAGCCTCGAATCACACGTTGTAATTGAATGATTCTTTGATAATCTCTTAGAAATCTCTTTTGTTGCATTTTTGCTCGGAACCATCTCTGTTTAAAAGAAAAGTACCTTTCTCTTTATTTAAGATTTGCACATCCTAAACAAGCACTGATAAAAACCAAAGAACTATTCTAACATGAGCTTTTACAGATACAGGCACTATAAACATCACTAGCAGTCATATAACCACCATGACATAGCTCTGATGGGCCTTGGGATAGCTGAAACACAAGACTGCAAAATGAGGGGAAGCATTCAGGATAGAATAGAACAGAAATAGAGTATTTTCAGTTGGAAGGACCTACAACAACCACCTAGTCCAACTGCCTGGCCACTGCAGGGCTGACCAAAAGATAAAGCATGTTAAGGGCATTGTCCAAATGCCTTAAACACTGACATGCTTGGGGCATCGACCACCTCTCTCTAGGAAGCCTGTTCCAAAGTTTGACCACCCTCTCAGTAAAGAAAGTCTTCCACATGTCCAGTCTAAACCTCCCCTGGCACACCTTTGAACCATTCTCACCTGTCCTATCGCTGGACACCAAGGAGAAGAGCTCAGCGCCTCCCTCTCCACTTTCCCTCCTCGGCAAGCTGTAGAGAGCAATGAGGTCAACCCTCAGTCTCCTTTTCTCCAAACTAGATAAACCCAGAGTCCTCAGCTGCTCCTCATAGGACTTCCCTTCCAGCCTCTTCACCAGCTTTGTTGCCCTCCTCCGGACACATTCAAGGACCTGAACATCCTTCTTGAATTGTGGGGCCCAGAACTGCACTCAGTATTCGAGGTGAGGCTGCACCAATGCCAAACACAGCAGGATAATCACCTCTTTTGACTGGCTGGTCAAGCTGTGTCTAATGTACCCCAGGACACGGTTTGCCCTCTTGGCTGCCAGGGCACACTACTGACCTATTAAGCCTGCTGTCAACCAGCGCGCTCAGGTCCCTTTCTTCAGGGCTGATCTCCAGCCACTCCTCTCTCCATTTATACTTGTGCCCAGCATTACGCCATCCTAGGAGTTTTCTTTCTCTTGGCTGGCTTTTAAGGAGAACCGCCACTCCACTTTTCTCATTTCCCTGCTCTGTCTCTTCCCCACTATATAAGGAGAAAGGAGATAGGGTACTGCATGCGTAATTTGAGCAAAAAAGGCTCTTCCGCCCTTTTGCTCCTGCCTTAAGGCAAAAATATAATTTATGAGGGGAGAGAACAGATTTGTATATATGGAGGACGAGTAGAGCAAAGTTTGCCATAACATCCTTGACTAGAGAACAGCTGTTTCAGGGATCCCGTTTCAGACTCTCCATTTATCCAATGCTGATCTTCCATTACTGGGACTAAGTTAATGGTCAGTTTGGAGACCTGAAGATAATTTTTACTATTAGGCAGTGCTGCAACACAGCTCTGATTTTTGATCTTGCTTTTAGATAAGTAAAACATGTTTATATTAAAAATGCTGCAATTTAACACAGACTCTGGCACCACTGGCAGGTTAGAAACATCCAACGGAATAAATCACTGTATCACCAGGGACTGTTCATGTAAGAAGATGCTGTTCATTTCACAAGCCTTACAGGTTGTCATGCCTGATCTTTCCTACTTCCAGTATGATGTAAAGAAATAGGCTAAGACAGCACCCAGATTCCTTTAGCAAGCTTGAAGGTCTGAAGGAAACAAATTTTCACATCCATACACAGCTTCAAAGTGCTTAAGCTTCCAGAGCCTGCTGAGATCCACTCTATTACGCTTAGCTGGGTATAAGCAGCATTATTTAATAAATCATAGTCTCCATAATTCAGCTTTATTTTTGCACGTGAAAGAACTACCATGTCTTAGTGCTACAGCTTAGCTGACAGTAAAGAAATTAGACTGTTACACAAAATCATTTGTCCTTCGACTAACCTGTATTATAAGAACAGATGAGATCTGGTTTTGTGCAAGCTTTAAGACGAGGTGAATCCTATATGCCCTTTGAATTTTAATTGCAGAGATATGATGATATGCAGCTGCTGTAAAATAAAGCAGTCTCTTCTTTTGCTTCTGTTCTGAAATCTATAGAAGGAAAACAAAAGTATCATTAATTTTCATACTCAGAGGTAGCTGATCATTTATGCAAAGACCATAGTACACAGCAATATACTATCAGATGCTGAAAAACTGCCTCAGAAATCATTACCTCAGAACTAAAGCTACCTTTCTTCAGTACTAGATCTCGAATTGAAACAATAACATAGAGAAGTGACCGTAAGCAACAGCATTAACATGTAGCAGAGAACAGTTTCATTCTAAGTGTGTGTGTGCCCAGAAGTATCTGTTATAAGGTAAGCCACAAAGATCTCAGAAGCAAAAAAAAACCAACAAACAATTAAAACCTATTTTAGTATTAAAGCATTGTCAGAAAACGCTCAAACAGTATTTAGATCTATTCTGACCGACGCAGTTCTCAAAGTAGTCAACAAGATTTTAGTTCAACAAGTGATCAGGTTTTCCTTTTCTTGCCAGCAAGAATTAATGCTAAAACAACAACTATAGTTTTAATTTGAAGCATACCAACCTTTTTTCTGACTAAATAACCCCGTATAAATGCTTGCAGTTTAATGACAGCTCTTCTAGTCTTGTTGTATTTCACAAACTGAAGCTTGCCTTCCTGCCAAGCCCTCAGATGTTTCTGGATAATTAGAGCAGCAGCTTTTTGTTGAAAAAGTTTCCTTCTTGCCTTGAAACCTCTGTATGCTCTTTGGATCAAACATGCAGCTTGAAGCTTCTGGAAAAGATTTTAAAGAACGCATTGGTAATTAAGTTTTTGTTCATTCCTGTCACAATCAATATATATTTATGTTTAGTTCTAGATTTTTTTTTTCCATCACAAGAAAAAAACAAAATAAAATAGGAAATACAAGCAAGATCATGCATTACTAGTTGCTATAATAACACACTTTCACAATTTGGAAGGTCTTTTCCTTTACTTAAGCGGGGTCAAAATAGGGGCAATTTAACTTAATCCTTTGTAAGTAATAAAGCCAGGAGAAAATTTTAGATTTTATCTTAGTGTAGACAGGGGTAATTCAACAACTGGAACTGTTCAAAAACAAGAACCAACCTTGCTGCTCAAAGTAAAAAGGAAATTCAGTATTTTGAAGGTTAAACACTTTTGATTTGAACAATCTTTGTTCTGGCCCCACCCTTTTTCTCTTCTATACTTCTGCATATCGATGACAAAAATCAATCAAATACATTGAAAACTTTTTAAACCACCATGACATAGCGGAGTGCAAGGGAAAACATACCTTTCTTAAAAGTCTTCTAGTCCTGTACTGTCTATACGCCAACTGAATCTTAACTGCAGCATTCTTAGTTGCCAGAAACTGATGTCGAATCATTCGTGCAGTAAGCGTTGCTCTCCATCTTCTTTGAATGGTAAGTGCACAGAACTTAATTTTCAAGAACCTAACATGAAAATGTATTTTAGGGTTTTTTCAAAAAGTTGAGAACACTTAGATTTTTAAAGTAAGAAAACAGTGACGTTTTATAAAATTATTAAGCTATTGTGAAAGCAGAGCTGTTATCAGCCAAATCTTGAAACACTAGAACAAGGAAGGGGAGAGCTAGCAATGTTGGCAGAAAGACTGGTTTAAAATAGAAGATAATTTTTGTTTGCCCACAGTAGGTACTTCCAGAACTTGCTGCCAAAGGAGGATGGGGACCAAGTTTGCAGACAACACCAAACTGAGTGGTGCGGCAACACGCCTGAGGGACAGGATGCCATCTAGAGGGACCTGGACAAGCTCAAGAAACAAACCTATGTGAACCTCATGAGGTTCAACAAGGCCAAGTGCAAGGTCCTGCACCCAGGTCGGGGCAATACCCAGTATCAATATCGGCTGGGCGATGAGCGGATCGAGAGCAGCCCTGCCGAGCAGGGCTTGGGGGTGCTGATGGATGAAAAGCTGCACATGACCCAGCAACGTGCACTCGCAGCCCAGAAAGCCAACTGCATCCTGGGCTGCATAGACAAGGATGTAAATTTTAACATCCACAATCTAACAAGCATGGATGCTGAGGAAGCACCTTAGAAAGTAATCAGGTTAATGTATTCTCCCTAACAGCATCTTCTACTGCTGCTGGTAGAGGACACAGTTCTGGATGAGATGGGCTGTCAGGCTGACCTAGTAGAGCATTTATGGTAAAACCATCTCACAGCAAAATAATAAACACAAATTAGTTTAAGTATTCCATTATGCATTATAATGAAATAGCTTTCCATCTATTAGTTTTATGCTGGAATTTTAACAATATCCACAACATCCTTCCAGTAAAAAAAAAAAAAAGTGAAAAAAAGACCAAAGCCTACTCTTTCTAGATGCCTAATATGCAAAATTTAAGTTTGTGAGGTAGCTTTCAGTCCAGAAAAATATTTAAACGTAAGAAATATGTTGTGCAAAAGAATAATTCCACCTGCATCAACAGGATTGTGTTCATGCACATTACATACATGCTGCAGGGTCAGAGCTTGAGAATCTATAGGCACTTGTTAGAGTGCAAAGCAATACTAAATAATTATATAATAAAAGCTTTGAAAAGTAGAGAAATTTGCATCAAATGCAGTATTACCGTGTCCGCTGCTGTTTTGTTTTGAAGTGACTCTGAATAACACGTATAGCTTTTACCACAGATGCATATTCCTTTCGTGCTCTGCAGCCTCGAAACCAGGCTTGAATTACTTGTGCTGCTCTCATTTTGTTAACCCACTGTCTGGCTTTGTATCCTCTATATGACGCCTATTAAATATATAAAAGGAAAAAAAAAAACTGTTTGTTTGTTTGTTTAACGGAACAAACAAAATTAAAAGGAAAGAAGTCACATTAGCATGAAAGGCTTTTAGGATTCCTATCTCTACAGCGTTACAAATACCTAGGTTCTCACATCTAGGAGATGTTTTCTAAAGCAAGTGAAACGCATTCAGAGAAGTACCACAAATGCCACTCTCTCTAATGTCTGTAAAAAAATGTATGTCGTGAAGAAGCAAATATAAAAGAGATTAAAAAAACCCTAAGAAAACCACCTTCTGGGATTACCTGAATTCTAACAGCAGCTCTTTTCATTTGATGGTATCTTTGTTGTTCAATATTTCGCATCTGATGGGCTCTGTAGTGCTGCTGTATTAATACAGCAGAAAACTTGCACCGAAGGTATTTCTGTCTCTGAATAAATCCACGGAAAAATGCCTTAAAAAAAAAAAAAGACATTATCTTGCATAGCATCGACAGGGTAGATATTTGCATATTTTAAAGTACAGCTGTACTCACCAGCTTGTTAGAAAAACAACAATATAAGTAAACACATTTCCGACTTCCCAATTAATTCTTTTTTCCTACCTTTTAAGCAAGGTAATCATACTTACATTATTCAGGATATGTAAGTTAAACATTCAGAAAATAACTAAGAATCTGCTACATCGCCCCAAAACACAGAGGAGAGGAAGACACACCTGTTTTCTTATCTGTTAAGAACAGCATGTGCTCTTCAACAAGAGAGTAGTAATAGCAAACTAAGAAATTATTGTAAGAGTTTATTTATTTCCCTTTCTTCCCTGATTTGTGGGGAAAAATCTTTTCATTCCAATATCCTGAAGACAAATCCTTCCCTTAGGGTAAAATAACTAAGGCCACCACAGGAAATCACTTGAAGCTTTTCCCAGAAGGAAGAAAAAGCAGCATACTCCCACTACATACAGATCATAAGGACATACACCTTCCTCATTCATCCTCAAAATAAATAAATAAATAAACTGAAGAAGCATGCCAGAGTAACTAGTCTCGGCTTCTTTGAACTCACAGTGCTTGGATATTTAGCTTGCTACAAGGAGATGAAGAGTAGTTACTACTTCTTGCTGGCCACACTTTTATTGCATCAATAAGGGTAGGAAAACCCACCAAATGAAATACTTCCTGCCTCCTGGAGTACCTCTGAGAAATCACAGATCCAGTTTCACATCAAGTTTCATGTGGTGCCACTCAAGGTACTAACTGAAACGTACAATAAGAATGCAATTTCTCTCCTTACATTCCTCTTTAAAATGTTAACTAGGCATGCAAATTACTCTAGGGCCATTTAATAAACCTAAAAGAATGAACATGATTGATTTACTCATGCCTTCCTAAATACAAGTCTCAAAAGAATGTAGCAGTTATGCCTTTTTTGCCATTTACTTCACTTTATACCCAATACGTGCCCACTCCTTTCAACACATCAAGACAGTTTTCATTCACATGCCAATCAAAAACCCCATTCATTAAGCCACTAATATTTACACTGGTGAAAGCCAGTTAGGACAAAAATACTCTTAAAAGAACCACAGACACACACACAAGTATCAGAACTCATTTGAGGAGTGAAATTCTAGAGGAGAAACAAGAAGAAAAAGGCAATATTACTTTTTAAGATGAGTACCTCACCAAAGAAACAAAACAGAGTTGAACTGAGACTCATTTCTGTGCACTGTGGTCATAAGCTTTTTACATCCGCCGTGCAGCAGATTTCAGAAATTGATTCTACTTCAACACATACCTTTAAATGGTAACTTGCAAGAGCAGTAACATTAAAAAAAGAAAAAAGAAAAAATCCACCCAAACCCTACTACTATACATTCAAAAGTACCTGAATTTTTATTATGCTTTCTTTACTCTTGTGAAACCTCTTCTTTTCAATGAATCCTCTGACTCTAGCCTGCACAATGATAATGTTCCTCCGGATTTGTAAGTAAGTTGTTCTTTGGTATTTCACAGTCAAGTGGGATCGGTAGCATCGTTGTAAGACAACTGCTGCTTTTTTATAGCTTTTATATTGTGATTTAGTCTTATGCATTAAATAATAGGCTCGTAACGTAACAGCTGCTGTTCTAAGTTGAATAAATTTTCTACGCTGCACAGCCATCTGAAGAAAAGACTGAATCCTTCTTGCAGCTCGTATTTGTCTTGCTGTTTTTCTTGCTTTCATACCACGGAAGGCAGACTGAATAATTACGATTGCTTGTCTTTGAGCAGTATACTCCGCTTTCTGTAAGCGAGCCCTGTGACGTGCTCTGTACCACCTCTGAATAGCAACTGCCGAACTCTGAATTAATTTATAGCGAGTCCTTGTTCTTTGGCATCGGAACATAGACTGGATCATTATTGCTGCTGCTTTCTTTTCAAGAAAACGCCTCCTCTCTACGCGCATTTGTAAGAATGACTGTATACGCCGTGCAGCGACACTGGTTTTATACAGCTGCCTGGCTTTTTTAGCACGAAAAGAGGACTGAAGGCAAATGACAGCCTTTTTTATTTTTGCATAGTTTTCCATATCAGCTTCTTTTGCCATTTTGGCTCTGAACCTTTGCTGTATCACTCTGACAGCCCAGCACAACTGTTTGTAATATCTATGTTGTACGTACATGCGATAACTAGACTGTATTACAATTGCTGAAACATGCATGACTTTCAGTTTCTGTCGTTCCTTCATGCCTCTATATGATGCTTGAATAACAACAGCAGAATTCTTCATTGTCAGATATTTCTTTCGTTGATTCTTTCCTTTAATGTAGGATCGATAGTATTTCTGTATAACAATAGCTGCAATTCTCATATTTTGATAAGTCCTTCTATTCCTGTGCATTTTGTAGGCTGACTGTATTGTACTGGCAGCTAAATGCATACGCTTAATACTCTTCCGCACCCTGATACCTCTGTACACAGCCTGTATGCGAATAGTTGCTCTGCGAAGAGAAAGATACTCCAAAGTATGCTGTCTTGACAGAATCAAAGCTCTATATCTCCTCTGAAACACAAGAGTGGCTGCTTTAAGAGAGACGTATCTCTGACGTTCTCTAAGAGCTTTAAAATTTTTCTGAAAAACAATAGCAGCACAGTGCATTTCTCGATGTTGTTTTTTTGCCTGCATGTCTCGAAAAGCCTTCTGAATACAAATTGTTGCTTTCTTTAACAAGGAGTAACGCTGTACTGCGATTTTCTTTAGGGTATTGGCTCTGTATCTCTTCTGTATTAGCTGGGCTGCCCACTGAACTTTTCTGTAACGGCGGTACTGCCTATACATTCGGTAGTTTCTCTGTATTGTAAGCGCTGCCTCATGTCTTTTCTTCAAGAAGCATCTTGTTTTCATTCCTCTATAGGCAGCCTGAAGAACTAAAATAGAATTGTACAGTTTTAAGTACATTTCCCTCACACGCTTCCCTTCCCTGTAAGCACGATAACGTTGCTGTATGATTACTGAAGCAAGCCTGACAGCTTGATAAGAAATGTAAATTTTGCGCATTCTTAATGTTGCTTGAATAACTGTAGCAGCTTGATGCATCTGCTGCAACTTTTTTCTTACCACAAAGCCTCTATAAGCAGACTGTATGATAACAGCAGCATTAAGGAAAGAGAGATATTTTTGACGTTGAATTTTTGCTAGTTTTGTGGCTCTGTATTTTCTCTGAATTACAACAGCAGCTGTCTTAACGGAAAGAAAATGTTTTCTTTTGAGAAAAGTTCTAAATCTTCTTTGAATAAGCTCAGCTGACTCACTCATAGTTCTTATAAGTCTTCTTGTTTTCATACCACGGAAGGCAGCCTGGATACGAAGTGCAGCACTTCTCATAATCATATAGTTGTGAACTTGTGTATTTCGCTCCTTACAAGCACGGAACCACTGCTGAATCCGTCTAGTTGCCAGCAACAATTTTCTGAATTCCCTCTGTTGCTTGTGCATTCGATAATAAGATTGTATTATTGCTGCTGACTGATGCATAGTCTTTAAGTCTTGTCGGACCTTCATGCCTCTACAGGCAGCCTGAAGGATAATGATGGACTTCTTTAGTTCCAAGTATTTTTTACGTTGTACTTTGCCCAAACAAAATGCTCTATATTGTCTTTGAATTATAATTACTGCCATTCTCATTGCCTGATATTTTATGTTCATGCGATGCATCTTAAATGTGGCTTGGATACAAACAGCCGCTTGATGCATGCAGTGAACTTGTCGTCTAACTCTTACACCTCTATAAATCGCCTGGATGTTGACTGTGGCTTTCTTTAAAGACAAATATTTCTGCTTTTGATGTTTAGCATGAATAATTGCACGATAATGCCTTTGAACTACTATAGCTGCAGATCTAAGTCTTTCATAGTCCTTTTTGACCAAGTAACATTTGAAGGCAGCTTGTACAGTTGTAGCAGCTTTGTTTAGTTTGTTCAATTGTTTCCTCACAGTCATCCCACGGTAAGCAGACTGCAAGACTAAAACAGCTGCTTTTGTTTTTAGGTAAATTGCACGTTGGTTTTTTTTCATACAGTAAGCTCTAAAGTATTTCTGAATCACTAGAGTGGCTTGTCTTAATTTCTTATATTTTAGTTGATTTACATGCATTCTGTAATACGACTGAATAATTGTTGCAAGATTATGCTTCTTTTGAATTGCTTTTCTCACAGTTTTCCCTCTCCATATTGCCTGAAGACACACTACGGAGTTACGCAGCTGAACGTATTCTTGCCGTTGTTTCTGGCCAATAACATGGGCTCTGTAATGCTTTTGGATAGTTAGCACAGCATGGTTCATAAGCCTGAATTTTTTCAGAGCTATGAATTTTCTGAAGGCAGTCTGTATCTTAGTAGCAGCAACACATTGTCTTTGAATCTGCTTTCGTACCTTCCAGCCACGAAAAGTTGCTTGTAAAGAAAGCACTGCCGCTCTTGTTGTTAAGAAATTCAGTCTTTGCCTGTTAGCAGTCTTACAAGTTCCGTACCACCTCTGAATCACGATGGAGGCCTGAACCATTGCCTTGTATTTCATTCTCGCAGCATGAGCTCTAAAAGCAGTCTGAATTTTAATAGCAGCTCCATATTCAAGTTTAAGCTTTTTGCGTGCTTTGTAACCCCTGTAGGCTGCCTGTAAGCACACAGCTGCTTTTTTAACTTGCAAGAACTCCTGCCTCTGACACAGTTGCTTTTCATATGCACGATAATGTTTTTGAATGACAATGGCAGCACTATAGATGCGTAAATAACGTTGCCTGTCCCTTCTCATTCGGTAGCGTGCCTGGAGAAATATTGCAGTCTCCGTCCACCTTTGTATTTGTTTCCTGACAAGATAGCCTCGAACTACAGCTTGAATTCTTATGCAAGCTCCCTTCAATTTCCTATAATCTTCTTTAAGTTGAAGAGCATATCTACGAGATCGATACCTTCGCTGGACATAAAGCGTTGTCTCCCTTAACGCACAATAATGCTTATGTGCTTGCCTCATCTTTACAAAAGCTTGAATCTTCACTGTTGCATCTTTCAAGTTTTTATAGCTCTTCCGGACAATGTAAGCACGGTAATTTGACTGAATTTTTATCACAGATCTCAATATGCGAGCCTCTTTCCTAGCTTCCATTCCTCTGTAGGCGGACTGCAGGACAATAGCTGCCAGACGCATCCTTTGGAAAGCAGCAGCTGCCTTTTTAGAAGCAACATGTGCCCTATACCAAGTCTGAATTACACAAGCAGCATTCTTAATCTCTTTGTATCTTTTCACTTGTTGGTATTTTCTCACATGTGACTGCAACGTAGTAACAGATTTTTTTAGTCGTAGAAATCTTAGGTTCTCTTTTCTCATTCTCCACAGTGATTGAAGAACACAAACTGCTTTTGTTTGACTGTATAGTTTACGTGACTTCATGCCTCTAAAAGCAGCTTGGAGAACTATCGCTGCTGCACGCTTTTGCAAATAGTGTTCTCTTTCATTTTTTCCTAGTTTATAAGCTCTGTAATACTGCTGGATTGTCACTATTTTTGCCCTGTGTTCCTGGTAAGTACGCCTAGCCAGCTGACACCTGTACCAAGCCTGAATCTTGATAACACTTTGCTTCGTGCGTAGATACCGCTTCAGATCTCTGTGCGTCCTATACCAAGACTGTATGACAAGGGCAGCCCTCTCTCTTTTAGCCAGTTTTGAAGATTGCCATTTTCGGAAATAAGTCTGAATCACTAGAGTTGCTTTAGTTTTCTGTTGAATTTTGTATTTTCTCCATCTTCTGAATGCAGACTGAATAGTAAGTGCTGAAGACTTCAAGATTTCAAGTCTTTGTCGATCTTTTTTTGCCAACTTAGATGCACGCAGATGACTCTGAATTGTAACAGTAGCCCAAACAATTCGTTTATATGCAGCAACACATTTCACCATCCTTATCCTTGCTTGTACAAAAATAACATAGTATCTTAGCTGTAAATATCTTTTCCTAGCAGAGTATCTCCTCCAGTAAGCCTGCAGGAAAAAAAAAAAAAAAAACACAGAAAATTTAGTGGTTTCTTCATGGTATCTTGAGTTAGCCCTAAAGTTGAGGACTACTAACCTCATCCTTTTTAAGATTTCTTTATTCCTACTTAATCCCTATGAAAATAAGACCAGATAACTGCGTAAAAAAAAAATAGAAAGCCAAACACTTGAATCATCGCTTTTTTAAGCATTTTAAATTCTGGAAAAAAGCTAAATTTGCCCTGGCAACAAAAGATTCCCTTTTAAATTAATTGATAAATCAGTGGTTCTTTAATCTCCATTTCAAACAGTCTTAAGAATGTAATATTTAGCTTTGGGTAATAGTGGGGAAAGTATCCTGAGAAACCAAATTAACTGCCCAGCTACCAATTGGTAACTAATGTCTGGCATTCTGAACACGCCCACTGCAGGTGTCATAACACTGAGTAATTTTTTTTTTTTTTGAAAGTTTCTTTTAAGTAATGTTCAGCAGCTGCAAAAAGGAAAGACAACACAGTCTGATCAGCCCTTATATTGACTGGATTAAGGCCCAGTGTTTTAAAGTTTATGATATACCAAAATGTTCACTAAGAAGGAACAATTGTTGATCTAATAGCACATTACCATTTCTCTATTTCTCTCTGATGAGAGACAGTTACCAAAACATCTCAAGGGGGGTGGGGTGGGGGTGGCAAAATAACAGTATTACATTTTTCTGAAGACATCAGTCGCTGTGAGTGGAACAAAAGACCCTGAGCAAGCTGTTTTCTTACAAGTTTCAGAGAGTTTCTTTGCTGTGTAATCTCGCTTTAGATGGTATTACCTGAATGACTGTGGCAGAATTACTTCTGGCTTCCTCCAGTTTTGTCTTTTTCAGATTTAACAAAAACATCCTGGCTAAGTAACTTCTCCAGTGCTTCTGAATGAGAACTGCTGCATTCACTTTCTTCAGGATGCGTCGACGGGACAAGAAGTTTATTGCAGATTTCTGAATTATCCGAGCAGCTCTGTCTCTTTCCTACAGAGTAAATTTCCACTGAACAGTTAGGACTAGAATTTTCCCTCAAATTTTTGATGTATTAGAATAACTATCTGAAGTGATCTCATAAAAATTAGGCATGTTGGTAACACAGCTTTTCTTTAGTAAATGAACTTTTCTGAAATTGAACATTTATTTCAGCACCGAGTTCTTTGTAAGAAGCGTGGCATCACTTAAATCTGCATCCTCCTGCCTTCATAGTCCTTCATCTTTGTACTCAAATTTTCAGCATTCCTAAGCAACCTATTTTTAAGCCTCAATTTTAGTTCTCATTCATAAGAATTTGAGATACCCTTACTAATACTTACATGAGGAAAAACCTCTTTACATTAAGGGTGACAGAGCACTGGAACAGGCTGCCCAGGGAGGTTGTAGATTCTCTTGCTCTGGAGACATTCAAAACCCGCCTGGACGCCATCCTGTGCAACCTGCTCTGGGTGAACCTACTTTAGCAGGGGGGTTGGACCAGATGATCTCCAGAGGTCCCTTCCTACCCCTACTGTTCTGTGATGCTATAACAGAGCACACCGGAACGCTTTCCAGCCTTATTTAAATGATGCAGGAGTACAAAAGATAGTCATACCAGATCATGTCCATCTAGCCCAGTGTTTTGTTTGCATATACCAACCAGTGCTGGTTTTTTTATTGTAACCCAGAGACTATGGTAACAAACTGATGTACGTCAAAGTAAAAGCAAAAAGCAGTTAACAAATGTAACGTGCCAATATTTTGATCATCTTGTTAGAACCCTGCTACTAGCCAATACTGCCATAGGGCAAATGTGCACATTGTAAGATTAAATAAAAATAATGCCTGCAATGCTTAGGGGTTTTGCAACATCTTCACTACTAATTGTTTTAGAATTGTTATAAGGGGAATGTTTCGTCATCATCTTTAAGGTTGTGTAGTTTTTATAAAGAAACTGGAGATGAAAAAGCCTACATAAACATAACTTCTGCCCTCTTCTACACCACAGATTCTTACAACATTTCACTTGAACACTGTTCCAACATCAACTAATATGTATCTCAGACACAGTGGTGGCATTTACCAACCTTAGTAGTATCATAGTTTTACAACCGTTACAAGATCTGGTATAACTACAAGAAAAGCAGGAAACAAAATATCAGAACTCATGAGATTTGCCTCAAAACACTGGTGACATTTACCTCCTGAACAAATCCTGAGTAAATCCATGCAGAAGCTTAATTAGTCTTTTCATCCTGCAGACATTAATAGGAATTAAAAATTAACTACTCCCTTTCTGTTTTAAGGAAGCAGTGCAACTATTTTAAATTTCAAATACCGAGAAAAGGGCTAAGGGGTTACATGCTCTAGTCAGAACACAAAAGAAAGAACACTAGCCTTTAAACAAATATAATTACCTCAGAATAGTCTTCAACTAAAGTGTTCTTAGTAGATTACACCACCAAAGAAGGCTGTATATTTTGCTACTACAAACGGTACTGATTAACTTAAATGCCAATATTATTCTAATAAACCTGTATACTTCAAACAATGAATTTATAATCTTTGTTTAGTGTTTCTGAAAGTAGAAGTTATGAACATTGCACAAGCAAAGAGTACCTGAGAAAGTTTCAGTTCCCTTTTCAGCCTATAATTCCTCCAAGCAGTCTGAATTAATCGTGCAGCTCGAGTTTCTTGCCGAAGATCCAGAAGCCGTGAACACAGAAATGATAGGTAGGTAATAACAACCTATAAAACACAAAACACAGCAAGTTACGGGCTATACAGGAGAGCAGGACACATTTGCAAGAGAGGGGAACATGTTTACACCAACTCTAAAGACATCTTACCTTCTCATCAGGAATTGTATTTGACATGTCCGAGTGATGAATCATTGCTGGTATTCCACCTAGGTCAGAAACTGCAGTATTGATGAGCTGGAAGTTTTTCCTTTCATTGTCCAAGAGTTCCTTGTATAGGACTGAGGCAGTTACAGCTTTGCAAAGAGAAAACATTTGTCAAATCAAATTGTGCATAGAAGAAATAGATTTAACATGAACTTCTGTGCATCAAATAACTCACTTTGGTCAAACATTCCTTCCACAACATTTAGAGAAGTATCGGACTCCGAAGAGGATGAGGAGGAAGAGTTTAGTCCCACTGTACAAGTTCTTGAGCATTCTACTGTTTGAGTTGTACGTTGGCATACAGCTTCCAAAGGCATGTAACATGGATGATAATGATGAATCAAATGGCATAATACTCTACCATCTGAGAAACACACTGTGAAATTTTCCACCTGTTAAATAAAATACAGTAAGACACAACTTCCTTGTATTTTTGTTACCAGTTAATTGGTATGAACTGGATATAGAATTTATCATCTTGTACCTTTGAAAGTGACCAAATGCAAATTATTTTTTTTTGAACAAAAAAATTTATGCAGCTAGTGCTTCCTTTGAACTTTCACTGTACAGTGACAAACAACTGTGAGAAACCCCAAAGAGGTGTGAATCACTATACAGTGAATCTCCAAGGGAAACATTTAAGAAACCAAAAAGAAAGCAATCTTTCTACACAACAGTCCCAAAGAAGCTTCTATAGATACCTTTACACGAGGTACTCAGCATAGAAATAACTTCTGAATTTGCATCAATCGTAAGTGCTCCATTTTACCCTTCAGAAAAAATAGCAGACATGACTGTATTCTGACCAGAGACAAGTCTCTGAACAGGGCTGCTCTTCGTTGAAGGAATAAACAACATGTTCCTTCTAAACAAACATCTCTGAGAAGAGGAATTCCCCTTATCCCAAACATTAGTTTAATTGTCACAGTTCCTATAGGTGAAAAGTTTATTCGCAAATACTTTTAGGATGAATGCTCATTAAGAAAATCTCAAACCACCCCATATTCCAGCAAAAATGTTCCATTTTTAAAAGGGATTTTTATGCATGAGACTAACTGGAAGGGGAGACCCTTTTGCTGAAATTTGTTTAAAAAGAGAGCTGCAGCTAAACCCACAGAAAGATGGTTATTTCAAGTATGATTAAACAAAGACCAGAGGGATATTTAAAACTAATTATAATTGGCTACTACTACATATTTGATAGTTTGAAGAATTCTGGTCTATAAAGAATAAGTATTCTTATGATAGCAAAGGATGTATTTGCTGAAATGTACACAAAACTATTTACCTTGATATCGTAAAATCCACAAACAGCATTAATCCATGCCATCAGCAGCTTCACATTTTCACTGTAACTTTGAGGTGAGGAGTTACTACTATTATCTTCTTGTATTCTACAATAATTTGGAAAAGTCTTGAGAGCACCCAATCGTGCTTTCTTCTTGTGGGCATTCTTTAAAAACTCAATTTCTTCTTTTAACTGTTCCACATTAAGGAAAACATCTACCTATCAGGAAGAAAAAAGGTTTTATGAACAGTCTGACATGTCATGCATTATAGCAGCTGGATGCAGAGTCTTTAGACCATAGAATCATTTAGGCTGGAAAAGACCTTTAAGGTCATCGAGACCAATCCTTAACCTCGCACTGCCAAGTCCATCACTAAACCATGTCCTTAAGTGCCACATCTACCCACCTTTTAAATACCTCCAGGGATGGAGACTCCACCACTTCCCTGGGCAGGCTGTTCCAATGTTCGATAACCCTTTTGGTAAAGAAATTTTTCCTAATGTCCAATCTAAGCCACCCCTGGCGCAACTTGAAGCCATTTCCTCTTGTCCTATCGCCTGTTACTTGAGAGAAGAGACCAACACCCACCTCACTACAACCTCCTCTCAGGTAGTTGTAGAGAGTGATAAGGTCTCCCCTCAGCCTCCTCTTCTCCAGACTAAACAGCCCCAGGTCCCTCATACGCTCCTCATCAGACCTCTTCTCCAGACCCTTCACCAGCTTCACTGTCCTTCTCTGGACACGCTCCAGCACCTCAACGTCCTTCTTGTAGTGAGGGGCCCAAAACCGCACATAGCATTCAAGGTGCGGCCTCACCAGTGCTGAGTACAGGGGGACAATCACCTCCCTACTCCTGCTGGCCACAATATTTCTGATACAGGCCAAGACGCTGCTGGCCCACCTGGGCACACTGCAGGCTCATGTTC